GGACCTTCTTGAAATTTCATAACTTCCTTTGATGAATATTACATGACTTTAAAAATATTTACAACTTGAAATACAATGAAAAAAAATTAAATTACATCATTGAACTTTCAAACGGCTAAATCAAAGCCTTAATTACATTCATCCAAAGATAAAATTACATTCAATTATCCTATAAGCTTCATCCCTGACCCTAACACACATCATCATCCATTCACAATTATACATACATCATTATATATCAATATATTAATTCATACATCAACATATATTAATAAATAAATATATATGCATATCAAAATTGGATCCATGAATGATGGTTTTCATAAAATCATGATCTCTAGTGATGAATCAAACCATGCTCTGATACCACTGTTGGGAAACGTGCAAGTTTTAAAAACTTTTCGAGGGATTTTGATGCATAGATCTTGATTCATCACATAGAGACAAGTTTTATACAAAAATAAAAATATGATATATCATTCAATTAATGGATTGAATACTTACATTAAAGGTCTGAGCAAACCTTTAAATCTTTCCTCTAAAGTGAATGTTCTCACTTATTGTAGATCCCTTAGTAAGATGCCTTCTCCTTGGATCTCCATCTTCTTGGTAATTGTTTTGCCTTTAGGAATCACTTATAAGCCTCCATGAATGACCTTGGAAAATTAGGCTTGTGGGAGCCTCCATTAGATGAGAACATAACCCCTAATTTTCTAGAGAGAGAAAATAAATTCCTTTTTCCTTCTTCTAAAAATCATCCCTTAAAATATACATAGACCATGTATATTTATAAGCAACATAAAGGTAAAGAAAATGAAACAACGAATCCTTCTCAATCTCTAATTTACATTTCTCAAATCTAATATGATTCCAATATCAAGTTGGGCTATGAGTGAGAATCCATTGGGCCTATTATTTTATTGGTTACAAGGAATTAATAATTGGCCCGGTCCATGGACCCAATTCAATTAATTTATAAATTAATTTCTACTGCACTAAAACAAATTAATTGAACTCCAATTAAATAATAAATAACCTCTAAGTCAATATTACACTTTGACCCCTCTATGCATAATTAGTTATCGGATAAATAAAGCCATCAATCTGACTACTTAATTAATATATTTATTTTGGTACCTTTGATTATTTCTGGCTCGATCACAATAAAACATTTGTTTGACAAAAATAATAATTTAAATAAATAAATATATAATAAATCATTTTGTCTAAAAACATACGAAGGCCTTCGAATTTACTTTGTGATCAACTATAATCAATACAAAATAAATACAAGTAACAATGATGCAAATATTGAAAATATAACCCTCTAACTATTAATCACATAACTACCCAAAGTGTCGGTTTAAGGATCCCGAAGAATCCGCCGAACAAATCAAAGTAATTATTAATTAATAAAAGAGTCTATAATTTTCTCATACTTAAGAGTCAAATGCCATGACAATGATAGGGAGCAATTACATACGACGGCTCTCGCAATATATCTCAACCTAACGCGGATCCAGTTTAAGTCTGAATCAATTATGAGTCCATCCATAATTACCGACTATGAACAATTTATAATTACTATTTATATATCATGCATTGATTGTCATCACTTACATATATATATATATAAATATTTCTTGTAATCACAGGGACACTATCAATTTCATAGTGAATCGAAACATAATACATTGAATTCACCAATTATATAAATCATAAATATTTCAGATATGTCAGGAAAATATGTCACTATAATCCAGATAGGAATTTGCTATGCCAGGGCATATAAATCGCAACAGTAAGCGGAAGCGATAAAGTTGTTCATAATAAATAGTTTACTTTGAATCCACAAAGTAGGTGTTTTGAATCCACAAAACGAAGAGATAATGTAGAGAAATCTGATATATTATTGATAATTGAATGAATAAAAGTTAATTCTGCACTTGGCAGTACACATATTTATAATAAAAGAAAACCTAGAAGAAAACTAAGCAGTACACATATTTATAATAAAAGAAAACCTAACTCTAGAAGAAAACTAAAACATAAAGAAACTTAATAGCAAAAGGAAAATAACACTAAAAATTCCGAAAAAATAGAATAAGAAACCTTGAACAAATATCTCGAAATAATTTGTAGGCCTTGTATAAGACAATAAAACGCGATTTCGGAGCCCTAAACGAAGGTTTTCAGCCGAAAATCAGCATGGCCCACCAGTTTCTCAATGCATCATTTCCACCCAAAACACTCTATTGGTTTGTCGAAATGCTTGTCGAAATGTGCAAAATTCCCCTCCACTTCAAAAAAAACACTCGTCCTCGAGTTTGGCTGCGAACAACATGCCGACCACAAAATCATATTGTTCATTGCCATGAGAATCTCCAAAGCACAACACCATTTTTTTTTTTTCATTAGCACCTTTTTGAATAAAAACTTCTTCACTTGCAATCTGCTCAAATAATGATCCTTCACCAATTTGAATTCCAAATTCATCAAAACCATCTGACATGCAATTTAAAATTTTCTTTGACCCTGTCAACAATTGATTAATATTTTTCGTTTTCAACGTCAAACTTCTTGTCACCATTTTCTTCTTTTGCTGCGTTAAATTTCTTAACGGCATCAACTTCAACAAGAAGAGGTGAAACAACAAAATTCTTTTCATGATTAATCTAATAGTAAGGTGGAAGAAACTTGGCTTGCAAAAGACATTTCATCTTCAACCAAGATCGTACCGGTGCTTTTCTTTGTTATGCACGAGAAACTTGCAACCGTTCCCACCAATTAAAAGCTATTCCTTCTAATTAATATGCGACCAATGCTACATTATTTTCCTCTTTAATTTTCATGTAATCAAAGAACCTCTCAAAATCTTCTAGCCAATCCAAAAAATCTTTAACATGAAATAAACTATCAAAACTAGGAGGAAAACTCCTAGGATCATAATCCCCATGATTAGAATATCTTCGTGCGTCTCTGTAGCCCCCAAAGACCTCTTCAGCATAATCTTCATCATCACTGAATTCTTCCTTGTAGGCTACTTGCCTACGCGGTGGGATGGGGTTGCGATTCTGAATAGGACGAACGCGATCTTCGTCATCGTTACGCACCCTGTTGCTTTCGCGATTTTGCTCTAACTCAAACCTAACAATTATTGCTTGAATATCTTGCAACGTTCGTCGGGTTTTACGTTGATAGCCTTGAAATTCGGCCCTAAAAGGAGCCACTCTCTGCCGATCTTCGTCGCAAGTGAGGTTGCCGTCACCACGTTCATCTGCCATACGAGGAAAAGACAAGGCTCTGATACCAATTGACATAAGTGAAAGCGATAAAGTTATTCATAAGGAACAATTTACTTTGAATCCACAAAGTAGTTGTTTTGAATCCACAAAACGAAGAGATAATTCAGAAAAATTTGATATATTATTGATAATTGAATGAATAAAAGTTAATTCTGCACTTGGCAGTACACATATTTATAATAAAAGAAAACCTAATTCTAGAAGAAAACTAAAACATAAAAAAACCTAATAGCAAAAGGAAAATAACATTAAAAATAAGCCTAAAAATAAAGTTTCTCTAAAAATTCCGAAAAAATAGAATAAGAAACCTAATAAATAAAAAATACTAAATTTAAAATTTTAGAGCAATGCGAGTTCGTTAAGGCCTTGAACAAAAATCCCGAAATAATTAGCAGGCCTCGTATAAGACGATAAAACGTGATTTCGGAGCTCTAAACAAAAGTTTTCAGCCGAAAACCAGCATGACCCATAAGCTAGTGGGTTTTTCTCAATGCATCATTTCCACCCTAAATACTCTATTGGTTTGTCGAAATGTGCAAAATTCTGTCCTGCATCAACATTAAAAGTTAACAATTTATAGCAATACTTATATTACCAAAGACTCATTATGGACAGTTCACCAATCTAGAAAAAAGGCATTCCATCCGATCAACATAAATTCCAAAGAAATTCAAGACACATGTAAACATAGTAATATCAAACCTTCATGAATACTGCATAAAAGAAATTCTAACATAACAATAACCTATTACTAGTTGATTGACACTGTTTGATACCCTGATTTATATCAAATATTTTAGGTGAACATAACATTACTAAACATTAGAAATTGAAGGAGCTGCAAGCATGCCATCAGTTTAGGTGCAAACTAACAGTAGTATAGCTTAGAAGACATAAGTAAAGTTGGATGACTTTTAAATTACACGACTAAACAAGAAAGAAAATATATGATACCATAAAAGAAACATTCTTCAGTTATCTTTCTTTCCTTCCATCCTCAAACTTTGTAGCAATCCCAACTACAGTCCCATAAGTTCAGCATCAATCCTAATAGAAACACGAATTTTCATATTGGAAACTTATGGGAAGATTATGATTGATTAGGTTTTCTAAGTAAAATGTACTACAAAATTGATACTCTCATATGCCCCATCCCTTTAGCATCAAGTATTTAATAGCCAATGTGCAAGTTAAAGAGAAAGATATCAACTCTACAAACTGCTACCTAAAATGTTCTGCCAAAATATATTACATTACCCCTCCAACTACTTCCCCCACTCTATTTCTTTTTCCAGTTAGTTGTGTGAACTGCTCGAACAGGAATTCATCTGTAAGAGAGAGAATACAATGTATAAGGTGTTAGGTGATATAAACGTAAGTAAAAAAGAGAGAATACAAAAAAACGGTAATACAATTCTCTCCTCTTAGAATATGTTCTACTAGAGGCTGGTAACTCAATGGTTCTACTGGCCGTAGCGGTAGCATTGTGACTAGATTACGTCACCACTCTCTACAATCCACAAATATTAAAAAGGACATACTTGATTGAAAAATATTATATCTGATCATGTAATTTAAAGGATCAAAATGTCTATAACTAGCTATGCCAAATAAGATAAAGTTTAAAAGTGCAAACAATATAGGCGGAGTACAGACTCATTTTGGGTTACCTCTTCTTTCTACCCTTCTTTTTATTCATCTTCTTTTGTGCTTGTGCTTCGTCTTGTCACTTTCACCAACACCATGAAGCGGTACCAGGCTTTCCAAGCATATGTTTTTCTCTTGATAAGTAAGGAACATGTCATCTGTGCTTTCAAAACTCGGAAGGCCGTGAATCTTAATCTTCTCGAGTTTTTCCATTTTCTTTAAGTCATACCATAGAAGCTCTCGATCGGCCTGTTCCAACATTACTTTTCCACCACACTTTGAATATGCTATTAGCTTGAAATAACCAAACTGCTTTGATACAAAGGACACCAGTTTAGTCCAAGATTCCTTTATTCTATACTCCTTCATCACCCAGACATCACCATGGCCATCAAAGTAATCGCAATATATACAAAGGCATCCTCCCAAGTCAACCACATGCATAAAAAAATTCTTATCTGAAAATTCAGGGGTCGGAACCAACCTATATTCCTCAGATCCAAGATCAATAGCAACTATCAGGTGGGAAATAATAGATGATGATTCTCGTCTCTCATTCCCAACCCAGTGCAGAGCCCCACTAATGAAAACACCATTCTCTTGGTGGTACCGGATGTAATAAGGGAAATCTTTAACCCTTCGCCACAAATTCAATTTCACACTATAAACCTTAACTTCAACTTCAGAAAGAAAAGCATAATCATCTTTGGAAGGACACACCGCCATCTTCACCACCTTGTAGTCATCATTGACAACATCATACCCAAATCCGTAAATAACAATCCAATTGCAGCATTCGGCTTTACGTGAATTCTCAAAGGAAGAGTTGGGTAATATTCGGTGATTTCGGGTGGACGGGTTCCACAAGACAGAGCAATAAACACTCCTAACACTCCTACTTTTGTTGTCCTTAAATGGGTACAACAAACCGAGCAACCCATCGCAAGAACCCAACACTCCTACTACTTAGGATCTCCCACAATTAAACGGAGACGGAAACGGATCGTCAAGCTCAACAGCATGATCGAGCCAATCCAACTCTACTGAGTAGAGTTTGTCCCTTTACACAATGAGGGTGCGATTGATGTTCATTTCTTTCTTTTGATGTTCTTAGATGCAATTTACGAAATTCTGAACTGTCGATTAGGGAACACCAGGATTTAGAAACGCACCTGAAACGCAGAAGAGGTTTCACAGGTAAAATCGAGACTATATTGGCGACTACATCCTCTGGAACCTCTGACATCTTTTCGCTGCTTCCAGGGTTAATGTGAGAAGGAAGACACGGTGCATAGGGTTTTGGAACGATGGTTAGGTTTCTGATTCCAGGTTATGAGGTTTTGGAACAATGGTTAGGGTTTTGGAAGATAGCCGTTTTGATTCTGAAAATAGAAGTAGCAATAAACCGTGCACATTCTCTCAAGTAGTCCAGTGCATTTTGTGGAGTGAATTTAGAACATAGAAAAATGATGGTAATATGATATCAGTAATAAAAATAAAAATAAAATAAAAGAAAAAAAGATTATTTGGTTATTGTTTTAACAATTAAGAAAAAATATAAAAGAGAGTGAATAATAAGAAAATAGTGAATTTATATATATATATATATATATATATATATATATATATATATATATTAATAGAAGGATAAATTAATCAGTAAGGACCTTGTTTTTTATATATAAAAAAAATAAAGAAAGAAAGTTTTTTATTTTCGAAGAGGTTAAATAATAATATAAGGGTAAAGTGCAAAAAAATTCCCTGAAAAAACTTGCAACTAATTCCCTGAATTTTTAAAAATACAAAAAATTCCCTGACCTATGCAAAAAAATTACAAATCATCCCATCCGACCAACGTCCGGTGAGAATTACACGTTAAATCATGTTGATTTTTTAAAAAGGCCATACTACCCTTAGAAGCATGAAAGAACAGGAGTGCCCTTAATATATATATATATATATATATATATATATATATATATATATATAAAAGAGTAAAACATATTTAATAAATAAGAGTAAAAAAATACTATGTGTGTGATACAGAGCTGTTTGGGTTTGGTTTGGTCAAAACAATATCCCATTTGCTGCCGACGAACCTAGAAACGGCGCCGACGAGGACAAAGGATGAACTCGGCGTTGCCGTAGGTTGCCACGTGGCGATTGGATTTGGCCATGCTACTACCCTTCAGAATCATGTCATCAATAGGGTATTCATCATTTAATTGAAGATTAGCATATGGCCGGAAGAGCTCCATTGATTGAAGACTAGAACATGGCCGGAAGAACTCCATTGTTGAAGACTAGAACATGGCCGAAAACTCCATTGTTGAAGACCCATTGAAGAACTCAAACCGAAGGTTTCATCTGATCTTCTCAATTGAACCATACAAACCCAAGCCACCACCATTGCCGCCTCTTCACCAACCACGACCTTCTCTCTAGAAATTCAAATAATTCACGCTAAACCTTCAGAGAATCAGAACACCGTAAACCGACCCCATCACCCAATTTTTGCCACTACCATCACCGCCACCTCACACATATATACACACGAACACACGTACATATTTTGTTGTTAAACCCCATCCATCCCGATGTCTGTCCTTCTTCATTGCCACCGCTGGTATATACAATGATTCAATTTTGGGATTTTGTAAAAAAATGGGTTAGGGTTTTGCAGACAATTATACGACTGGGTGACGATTTGACAGAGTCAGCTCAAATGAGTCTCAACTGATTCGAGTGATTCGTGCAATGCTTTGATTTCTTGAATTTCAAAACACACAGAGGGAGATCGATGATGAAGATGAACATTGCATATATATATATATATATATATATGTATATGTGTGTATTATACAGAGCTGTTTGGGTTGGTTTGTGTTTGCCTCGTCAAGTGAAATGGAGTTTAAAGGAAACTGCGTCCTTTTATAGGAAGGGTAGCATTGTCTTTTTATTTTTTTTTTGGTGGCCTGTGTGGGCAAATTACAACAAATTGAAAATTCAGGAGAATTTTTTGTAATTTCGGGAGGTTAGTTGCAAACCCCCATAATTCAGAGAGGTTTTTAGCATTTTACCCTAATAATAATAGTCTAACTATTTGTTTGGTTACTAATTTTTTAGTTCCAGTGAGAATTATTTTATATTTTTTGATTTTTAAAAAGTTTTTTAAAAAGAAATAAAGCATGAAAAAAGTTCTTACTCTTTTTTTCAAGACCATCTCACGTAATGTTACCAAATTCCTCCCTCTTCCTTATTTTCCTTTTTTCCAATTTTTTTTTTCCCCCTCATTTTAGTGAAATACAAAATACATGGGTGTGAATTTATTGTCGAGGAAAGAAAAATAAAAATTGGGCATTGTGTGAGTTTATTGTCGGGAGAAAATAAAAAATAAAAATAAAAATCCTTTAATTCAAACATATTATAATTAAGGATTATCACTTCATTGCAATTATGATTATTCAAAATGAAAAATAAAATCCAAGGGAACAAGAAAGAGCATAAGAACAAAAACTCATATACTCCTAATATTCCAAAACAAAGTACCATCCCATTGACCCATTCATCTGTCAACGCAGACTTTGAGAATGGATATCCGATTTCTATTAAGCACACACCAGTTGATCTTTTATAAATTTTATAAATCTTTCGCATACAATACACATTGACAGTGACACACACACACACACACACACGACTCCTGGCAACAAATAATTTGGATAATCTATCTGATATGGTGTTTGGATCAAAAGACGAACTAATCAACTTGGAAAATAGCTTTCTTTGGATCATCTAATATGGTTTTCATATTAGCCAGAAATTTGGAAATTGTGGATTCAAAACGAATTCCCTAATCATCTTGGAAAATAGATTTCTAAAGCCTCGATTCTTTCCTGTAGGGATGATATTTGTCTCTAATCCTGTGAAAGGAGAAAATCTATTTACAAGTTACAACATATGTAACACAACATTATCCTAAATTTTCTTCGACACACAACATACATATACAAGGTCATAAAAACTCATTTAACCCATTTCTGAATAGAGAGATACAAGTCCTGTATCAGTCCAACCCATTTCCAAATGCATTCAAATCGTATAATTCTTGAAATCTTGCCAATGCACACAAAACACAATCAGAAAACCAATGAATAAAACACAAAGGATGCACAACAGTGATAAATTTTAGCACCATAATTATATATATATATATATTTCACCATCCACCTACCAAATGCATGTCATGCATAGCATATGCAACAAACTTGGTGCTAAAAGATAAACATTATTTTAGTATTAGAATCTAATTCTATGAAAACTATATTAACATTTGGGGCAGAAATACAGAAACTTTGGAATTAAATCAATTTCCCTAATCAACAGAATAGTGATAGCCCTGCAGCCGCACAAATAAAACTTAGTTTTACAACAATAAATGTGAGAAGAAGAAAAAAAAAAATAAAAACAAAAACAAATAATAAATGGCCACTGATATTAATGGACACGTCTTCTTTCATTACTAAATCAAAGATGGTGCAAGCACCCACTATCTCTCATATAGTAAATGAGTATGGAGATCCGAGTGAAAATCCACAATATTCAATCAGAACCTACCTTCTCAACTGGCATCATCCTACAAAAATGTATCCTACAAGTGCAGTTCTTATTTCACCTTTCCTTCTTCTTACTCTTTTCTGTAATTTCCCGGAACTCAAAATTGTTAAGCATAAAAGGAAGAAACCGTGAACCAAATTAACAATTTTCACAGAACCAGAATTTAATTCTTTTCTATTACCAATAAGGGGAAAAAACAAAAGAAAGACAACAATATCCTACAAGTGCAGTTCTTATTTCACTTTTCCCTTTTCTTACTCTTTTTCTGTAATTTCTCGGAACTCAAAATTGTTAAGCATAAAAGGAAGAAAGCGTGAACCAAATTAACAATTTTTCACAGAACCAGAATTTGATTCTTTTCTATTACCAATAAGGGGGAAAAACAAAAACAAAAACAAAAACAAGGTGCTTCACCTGCAATATCAGATAGTCCAATGGGGCATATGAAACCAATCAAGGTATTATCCATTGACAGTTTCAAGTTGTCAACAAAGAATCAAGAGGCCAACCCAGCTCCGACTATCCAAAATTAAGTTTGCACCTGTAAGACCACTCGAGGCCTTGGATCCACAATCAATCTAAATTGTTCTTCACATATGCATGATTCGGATGGAGTGGGTAAAACAAAGATTACCTAACAGGTATAAAGTTATGTATACTCGAGTTGGGAAAATTTTCAAACAAATTCCTACAAGTGCATGGCAAATTCCAAAATCAATCTAAATTGTTGTTTACAGCCTTTTGACATCTTCATGTTTTTCAGCCTTTTGGTAACAATAAGCACTAAATGTTAACGTAAACGGCCCTTAGATGTCAACGGAATTAAATCAAAATTTGCAAAAAGTTTGTCCACTAAAAGGTCAATAATCGGAGAAATTGTATCCAGGTTAAGTTAAAAGTTATCAATTTATAACCATACTTTTATTACCAAAGACCCATTAGGGATAGTTCACCAATATATATGTATATATATATATAAAAAGGGAATACCATCCAATCAACGTAAGTTCCAGCAAAAGAAATTCAAGAAACATGTAAGCATTGTAATGACAAACCTTCACGAATACTTTGTTTTTTTGACAAGTAATAATTGAATAATAAAAGGCGTTCAAGTGGAGAGAAAATTGCCAAAAATCAGTTTTTTGACGTCCCTTATACAAAAGTGGAACCGGGGTTTAAGGCCACCAAGAATTCAAAAAAATGATTAAATCATCTGGAGAGGAACAGGACTTCCTTTTCACGCAACTAAAAAGAAAGCGAATGATGTGAAGTTTCAGAATCATCGTGGACGACTCTTTCCCTTCAAACATTCTACTATTCCTCTCCTTCCATATGCACCACCAAATACAATGTGGTACAATTCTCCAGTAATCACAAACACCGCTTCTCACACGGCATCCTCTCCAAACATGAATCAAATCCTAAGGATAACGAGGCATAACCCAACGCACACCATACAGACCAAAGATAAGATTCCAACAGTTGCTCGCCACAGGACAATGCATGAGAATATGATCAACTTACTCACCATCTTGTTTGCATAGGCAACACCAGTTAACAAATCAGTTGCCCCTTTTCCTTAGATTATCAATCGTCGGGATCTTACCCCATACAACGATCCATACAAAG